GAATGATTATAGCTGATTATAAAGCTAGAGACTTTCGACTTTTATTTTTTATAACTATGAACTGCAAAATGGTATTACGAAAGCCACAATTCTTGCTTGAAGTAGATCGACAGTAGATTGACGTGACAAATAAGAGCCAATCAAATTTTTGCAAAGTATTCTAGAATCAATTTCCAAATTTAGTAATGTGCCCGACTGTAATTGAGAGAACGATTGTGTTAGTAGTGGTATTAACGATATAAACTAGTTTTTTTATAGAATTTGTACTTTATTATGGGTCGGATATTTTATTGTTATTAGAGAATTTGTTGTTATAAGGGATGATGTTTTTCTCCCAAGGCAAAAATGCCCTTTATTTATAATAAACGTTTATTTACATTTGAAATTAATTTCTTTCACAAATGCAATATATTCCTTATACTCGTAATCTTAACTAAATCTAATAAAAGGCCTATATTTCATTTAACAATAAGTGGCCGATGTACTGTATGTACGTACTGTACGCGAAAATTCTTGCCGATCACTTCAAATGAATCCTATCAACCAATCAGATCGCTAGAATCAACTATACGCACTATACAGTACGCGAAAAAAAATTCGAGTATCATATAAATGGCACATAACTAGGCTGAAGTAGCAGAAGTAATATAAGTAACATAAGTAACATAAATAACATTTCCGTTACTTTTCGCGTGACCTTGGATCGGGTAGGGATTGTCGCTTCGACTCGGGCACTCGTGACCCCAAAAATCGGGATACGATAAGTATCTCCACGAATCCTTAATGCTTTTGCATTATTTGGTTCAATTCCTAACGATTTATTTAATTCTTTAAGTGATTCTTCATATCTATTCATCTTGTAGTAAATATCACCACGAATTCTTAATGCTTCCGCATTATTTGGTTCAATTTCTAATGATTTATTTAAATCTGCAAGTGATTCTTCATATCTATTCATAATGCGATAAGTATCACCACGAATTCTTAATGCAGATGCATTATTTGGTTCAAATTCTAATGACTTATTTAAATCTGCAAGTGATTCTTCATATTTATTCATCATGCGATAAGTATCACCACGAAGTCTTAATGCAGATGCATTATATGGTTCTGTTTCTAATAATTTGTTTAAATCTGCAAGTGATCCTTCATATCTGCCCATTTTTTGATAAGTTAATCCACGATTATATAAGGTAGTTGTATCGTTTGGTCCAATTTCCAATGCTTTATTAAAATCCGCAAGTGATTCTTCATATCTGCCCATTTTGTGATAAGTTAATCCACGATTATGTAAAAAAATTGTATTATTTGGTCCAATTTCCAATGATTTATTAAAATCCGCAAGTGATTCTTCATATCTGCCCATATTTTGATAAGTAAATCCACGATTATGCAAAATAATTGCATTATTTGATCTAATTTCTAATGATTTATTGAAATCCGCAAGTGATTCTTCATATCTTCCCATTAGTTGACAAGTTAATCCACGATTGTTTAAGATAGTTGCATCGTTTGGTACTATTTTTAATAATTTATTAAAATCCGCAAGTGATTCTTCATATCTGCCCATTTTTTGATAAGTTGATCCACGATCATTTAAGATAGTTGCATTGTTTGGTACAATTTCCAATGATTTATTAAAATCCGCAAGTGATTCTTCATATCTACCCATTATTTTATAAGTCAATCCACGATGATGTAAAGTAGTTGCATTATTTGGTCCAATTTCTAATGATTTATTAAAATCCGCAAGTGATTCTTCATATCTGCCCATTTTTTGATAAGTTAATCCACGGTTATTTAAGGTAATTGCATCGTTTGATTCAATTTCTAATGATTTATTTAACAATTTATTTAAGTCCGCAAGTGATTCTTCATATCTACCCATTTCTTGATAAGCTAATCCACGTTTATTTAAGGTAATTGCATCGTTTGGTTCAATTTCTAATGATTTATTAAAATCCGCAAGTGATTCTTCATATCTGCCCATTTTTTGATAAGTTGATCCACGATTATTTAAGGCAGTTGCATTATTTGGGTTAATTTCTAATGATTTATTTAATTCCGAAAGTGATTCTTTATATCTGCCCATTTTTTGATAAACAAATCCACGATTATTTAAGGTAGTTGCATCGTTTGGTTCAATTTCTAATGATTTATTAAAATCCGCAAGCGATTCTTCATATCTGCCCATTTTTTGATAAGTTAATCCACGATTATTTAAAGTAGTTGCATTGTTTAGCTCAATTTCCAATGATTTATTTAAATCTGCAAGTGATTCTTCATATCTATTCATCTTGCAATAAGTACCACCACGAATTCTTAATGTAAATGCATTATTTGGTTTAATTTCTAATGATTTATTTATATCCGCAAGTGATTCTTCATATCTGCCCATTTTTTGATAAGTTAATCCACGATTATTTAAAGTAGTTGCATTATTTGGTCTAATTTCTAATGATTTATTTAAATCCGCAAGTGATTCTTTATATCTGCCCATGTTTTGATAAGTTAATCCACGATTATTTAAAGTAGTTGCATCGTTTGGCCTAGTTTCTAACAATTTATTTAAATCCGCAAGCGATTCTTCATATCTGCCCATTTCTTGATAAGTTAATCCACGAGTATATAATGTAGTTGCATCGTTTGGTCTAATTTCTAATGATTTATTTAAATCCGCAAGAGATTCTTCATATCTGCCCATTTCTTGATAAGTTAATCCACGATTATATAAAATAGTTGCATTGTTTGGTCTAATTTCTAATGATTTATTTAAATCCGCAAGTGATTCTTCATATCTGCCCATTTTTTGATAAATTAATCCACGATTATTTAAAATAGTTGCATCATTTGGTATAATTTCTAATGATTTATTAAAATCCGCAAGTGATTCTTCATATCTGCCCATTTTTTGATAAGTTAATCCACGATCATTTAAGATAATTTCATTGTTTGGTCTAATTTCTAATGATTTATTTAAATCCGCAAGTGATTCTTCATATCTATTCATCTTGCAATAAGTATTACCACGAATGCTTAATGTAAATGCATTATTTGGTTTAATTTCTAATGATTTATTTAAATCCGCAAGTGATTCTTCATATCTGCCCATTCTTTGATAATTTAATCCACAATTATTTAAGAACGTTGCATCTGCAAGTGATTCTTCATATCTGCCCATTTTTTGATAAGTTAATCCACGATTATGTAAAGTAGATACATCGCTTGGCCTATTTTCTAACGATTTATTTAAATCTGCAAGTGATTCTTCATATCTTCCCATTTTATAATAATTTAATCCACGATTCTTTAAGTTAGTTGGATCGTTTGGTCTAATTTCTAATGATTTATTTAAATCCGTAAGCGATTCTTCATATCTGCCCATTTCTTGATAAGTTAATCCACGATTGTTTAAGGTAGTTGCATCGTTTGGTTCTATTTCTAATGATTTATATAAATCCGCAAGTGATGCTTTATATCTATTCAGTATGCGATAAATATCGCCACGAATTCTTAATGATTCTGCATTATTTGGTTCAATTTCTATTGATTTATTTAAATCTTCAAGTGATACTTCATATTTATTCATCATGCGATAAGTTTCTCCACGACTTCTTAATGAAAATGCATTATTTGGCTCAATTTCCAATGATTTATTTAAATCTGCAAGTGATCCTTCGTATCTATTCATCATACGATAAGTATCGCCCCGAATTCTTAATGCTTCTGCATTATTTGGTTTAAATCTTAATATCATATTTAGACCTAAAAGTGATTCTCCGCGAATTTTTAAAGCTTCTACATTATTCGGTTCAATTTCTAATGACTTATTTAAATCTGCAAGTGATTCTCCATATCTATTCATTTTAAGATAAGTATCGCCCCGAATTCCTAATGCTTCTGCATTGTTTGGTTCAATTTCTAATGATTTATTTAAGTCTGCAAGTGATTCTTCATACCTATTCATTTTACGATAAATATCGCCACGAATTCTTAATACTTCTGCATTGTCTGGTTCAATCTTTAATGATTTATTTAAATCCTTGAGTGCTTCTTTATATTTCTTCAATATACGATAAGTTTTCCCGCGTTCACATAATGTATATGTATTATTCGGTTCAATTTCTAATGATTTGCTTAAATCTTCACATCTCGTCATAAAATAAGCTTCTTCATGACTTCTTAATATAAATTCATTAGTTTGTTCAATTTTTGAGAATTCTTTATGTCCATACATCTACAAATACAATTGCTTGGATTAATTACTAGCATCAATATAAATTTGAAAGATGTTTCATGAATCAACTCTATCTATGGTCACTTAATTTTAGGGCTTTAACGAAGCCGAGCCGAACCAAGCCAATTAAGTTGTACGTAATTTAATACAGTCAACTCCCTCTAAGTGCACGCAAGTTCTTTCTAAATACAACAAACTAATTTAATTCTTATCGGACTTATAATAAATTCAAAAATTTTTGTTAGCCAGTCATATTACTTTATTGATTATGTATTAATTTAGTTTCTTTAATTGCAAATTCATTCTAATCACAAAATAATTTTCTGCCCATTGACTTCCACTTAGAGAGAATTGACTGTAGTAACCAAGCTATAGTAGAGGTGCAGACATATATTACGACCACATTACAAAAATATGTCTGCACCTCTAAGCTATAGCTTAGAGGCACAGCTTGAGATATGGCTTGAGATATATATTTGAGTCATAGCTTAGCTTATAACTTGGCTTAAGCCGTGACTCATAATTGTTATGTACGTATATACAATTAGTATTACGTTTTCGGCTACTGTATTAAAACCACAGCTTGAGCATGGCTACTTGAATTACTGCTTTTAGGAGATAAGCTAAGCCATCCAAGCTGATAATAGCCCTACTTAATTTGTATAATGACTTGTCAAAAATTCAAACAGTAATCCTGGTTAACAAAAAAAAAAATTTCTTAGTCACACTCTGATTTTTTTTTTCTTTTTTTAACTTCCTGGTATTAACTTTACGTACCATTTTAAACTAAAAGTTGATAATCTCAAATTATAATTTAATATACAGTAATTAGGATTTGATAACTTTCATGAATGCCAGAATTTTTTGTCATCAAGAGACCATATTTGATAACGGTACGATAAACTGTAAATTGATTCATGAGTTTTCACGACCCTAAAAAAAATTAATATAAAATTGATTACATATAGTGTTCTGGTCGTACAGACAACATGATAGGATCATAAATATTAGAAAAAGGGTAGAAGTTTAAATTATAAAGGCGTTACCGAATGACCAGACTCTTCTGATGTCGAATTCGATATAGTGAAAATTCATTAATCAATTTTACAGGCACGTCCTTCCCAGAGTTGATGTCATGTTTTTTGTTATGAAGTGCCATACTTGTAATTTTCTTCAATACACGAATACATATAAATACAACTTAACGTTGGAGAAAGCCAATTCATTCTAAAGTTTAAAGTTTACAGTGTTATATAAATATGCAAATTTAATATTACCTATTTTGGCAATTTACTGTGGCACTTATTTTAGGTTTGTACGCCTCCTGGGAAATACTTATTTCTGCAAGTGATACAAATCACGTGAAATTTTGACCAGCGTTAGGGTTACGGTTAAGGTTAATATAAGAAGCATAGTATAGTAAATTATGGTAGGAATTTTTTTTGTTAGAACGTCAATGCAATTTTTTGGGCAAAATTTAGAGTTACTGGCGATGTTTTAAAAAAGCCTTCGATTTCACGTTACACTGATATTGTACCTAATCCTGCGATCTACAAAGAAAAGTTCTTTTTTGGATTTGCATCACTTGCAGAAATAAGTGTACGCCACTCCTGGACACAAAAAAGTTAGCACTAGTGCTCCGAACGGATCGGATCGGGTCGGTTATGAACCAACCCGAACCCAACCGAAATTTTAAGGCTAATATATTAAAATTTTTTAAAAAATGAATTCAGTCACCATTTTGCTTTTAAAATTCATGTAATGATGACTAACAAAGTTGGCTAATCAAATCCAAACTCGATATGCATTATAACTACTACAGTAAAAGTCATGCATTGCATACTAGAATCAATGAAAATTTTTTATTTTTATTCTATAATTTATAGAATTCAAAAAAAAAGTTTTATTAATTTTGGTTTACAAAATTTTATAGCAATTTCTCAATTTTGATTGGCTAAGAATGATGAGAAAATATTTGCCCAAAATTACTCAAAATTTTATATTGTTCCTATACAAATTTTATTATAATGCAAGATTATTTTTTAAAATTTCTATTTTTGTAATAAAAAAAATCAATATTATAATTGAAAATTAATAAATTATATAATGCAAAAAAATTTTGCAATCTGTAATCATTAACTGATCAAAATTGAGAATCTGTCATAACAATTTCATTTGAAGAAATCAGATTAGTGGTTTTATTTAAACTATTATTTAAAAATACTTATATACTTACTATTATAAACATATATACTTGCTATTAGAACTAAAAAAAATATATAATGCTTATTCCAAGTATCTCTAATTTGAATAATTTTAGGTTGAGTTAGGTTTAGTTCAATTCAGATTATTGTTCAATTTGAATCTAACTTAAATCTAATCAGAAATTTTTAAAATAGATTTTTTTAATCTGAACTCAATTTGACTCAAAATTTTAAGTCAGATTTTGGATTGATCCAATCTGATTTAAAGCATTAGTTAGCATCACATAATCTGTTAATTATATAAAATAATTTTATATTAGGATATTTAATATACTATATAGATAGAGGATAGTGATCCTAGTGTAGTGGTTGGGTTGTCATCCTCCAAGTAGCAGGTCTAAGGTTTTTTTTTATTTATATAATGTTCATAGGTCTAAGGTTCAAATTCTACCTATAATGAAATTTGAAAATTAATCTGTATTATAACAAACTGTCTCTTAACAATTTGTTGAATTTGTGTATCTGTAATCTTAAATTGTACTATTTCAAATGAGAGCTCAGGATATTTATGCCAATTATAATATTACATATACATAGAGAAATATTAATAATTAGTATCACATAAGACTTCAGTGCAAATCCACAATAAAACCACCAGATGCAGTAAACTAAGGAACCAAAGAGTCAGAAGCCTACCTGGAAATTCCTAAATAAAGAGGTAGTATAAACTTTTGATAGTATGGTCAGACTGATGAAAGTCTATAAAACACCTTCAAAAGAATAAGTAGATAAACCAGATATCAAGATATATAAAAAAGCATATGACCAACCAGGCTAACAAAATTGCTAAAAAAAAAAGATATATAAGTATATCATATCAGACTATCTAGATTAGAAGTCAGAGAAGTCCTATTGGTTCTAAGTAGCAGTTAGTAAGAGATGATGGAGAAGATATCATGATAATAGATACTGGGGTTCTAGTGAACTTTACAAGGATAGAAATAGTATAATGTAGCAGTTAAACAAATAACTTCTGTAACTGCAAGTGTTAGATAACTATAGCATATTGTATAAAACTAAATTAGCTGTATGTAAAACACATTAGGTTCTAATAAGTTTTCTATTAAGAATAAACTAGTCCTAAGAGTCTTGAAAACATTGGATACTTTGGATAAGTATAGCTCAGAAGATATCTTCATGATCACAAGTCAGATTACATATGCAGAAGGTTTAAATAGACAAGATCTGTAGTTGGCTTGCAGA